AAGCTAGTGAGTGTCTGACAGAAGAGACATCGTAGGAGACGTGTTTCTCTGCAGGGGTGTCGTGGGGAAATCCTGCAGTGGACCATTTCATATTCTACATTGCAAGCTGCTGTTTTGTTTTTTTTTTTGCATTTCCAGTTAAATGTCATTTGGATAAAAGCTTCAAATCTTAATAGAAACCTGGCATCGGGCCTCAATCAGGAGGCTTTTGTAAGGATGACTAACAAGCTGGGCACTTTACACATTAATTCTGAAGCTATAGTTTGATTCCACTATGCATTTGCCTCGCTATAGTATGTATTGGTTTTGCGCCGGTTCTGCCTCTAACAATCTGATTTCTCTTTCGGGCCTCGCCTTGAACCTCTTGAAGAATATCGTTTGGAAGTACAAATTTTCCCAGCTGAAGGGATCTTCCGATGATGGGAAGACGCGCGTGAAACTCCTCTTCCAGAATTCGGAAAACAAGCAAATAGAAATGAAGGTAAGACATTCCGATTAAACTGTTCTTCTATATAGTGATTTAAAGAACACTGCGTATTTTAAAAAATACAACTGTGGTTATACAAAATGCCCATATAATATTAAAAAGGCAACAGTTTGTCATCTATACTTGATAACATTTGCTTGACCTGCACTTGCCTTGCCTCTTACCCCACAGGAGCTGGAGTTTGCAAACCTGACTGCCGTCTTGCACTGTGTTCATTCGTTCATCGCTGCCAAAGTAGCCTCTATGGACCCCGTCTTCATCAACAGTCAGAACATCAGCAGGAAGCACACACACAGCTAGGGCTGAGCCGACGTTTCCTCTGCACTTGTTTCTAGCCGATCTGATATTTTATTAACATTATCTCTGTAAATATATTTATTCCTTTTTATTTTTGTATAAGTCTTTAATTATTAGGGGGAAAATGTTTAAAATGAATGAATTTTGGCAATAGGGAGTTTTTTTTTATTGATGATTGATGAATCATATCAAAATCTGGTTGCATTTCACACAATGACCCTGTAGAAAACCGTACAGCTACCTAGGATCTGTCTGTGGGTGGCGGGTGTGTGTGGGGGTGGAATGTGTGTTGAAAGGTTTTAAAACTCATCGAAAGACAACAATTAATAAAGTCTTTCCACTACTGTTTATGCAAATGTAAATGATTGCATTTGTCATTGGCCTAAATGTTAATTTCCTTATTTCTGCATTATTCAGTTTACACTAGTCATTATAAAACATGCAAAATATTTTAAATTATGCAAAATTGTTTTTATGTAATTATCAGATTAACCAGTGAAATTATGACTTTCAGTTAAAACTCTTATCTAATACATAAATAAAGCAGATATTTTAGTTGAATTACATACCTGAGTGAAGGATATGTCCTGTGAAATGAATATTTATTTATCAAAAGTGGTAAGTAGCTCCCAGAAAAAGCAATTAAATTACTTTGACTTCTAAGGCTAAGATACGAAGGGGATTAATCTAAATTATTTTGAATGATTGGTGATTAACGCTTGCAATGGTGTGATTTTAGAAAAAATATGCAATAGAACCCTTTAATACTCAGTTCATAAAAAAAAATTAATGGACTTTAACAGGATAATCACCCATAGTAGATCAAGTGGGGTCTTTAGAAATGTCAAAATGTTTCTGGTCAAACCTAATTAGAGATTAAGAATCCTAATCTTCTCAGACATTAATCTTAACCCAATAATTGCCACACTTGATTGTGTGTTCTTAGTATGGGTTTGCAAAATATATATTTAGTATCATTCATATATTGTAAATACATTTATGTACACACTCATACACAATTAGAAAGGAACAGACACAGGCAGAAAATTGTACTGTTTTTCTTGTTTTACAATTCATTTTCAAAGTGGTTGCATAGGGGAGAATGGTGAGTAATGTTTGCAAAGACTTTAAAGGTCATTATAAGAGATTTAAAGGAGAAGACAGAGCATACTGAGGTCTAAATCAAGGCCAATCTCAGCAATAAATCACACTGCGAAACACGAGCAGATTTTTCTTTGTGAGATACTGAGGATAAAATACAGAAGGATTGCTTAAACAATCATAAGAAGGGATTGCATGTATTGGATCATTTTTATCATAGCCTTCCTCAGTTAATGAAGTACAACAGCCTAAAAGCTGTTTGAACAGGGGCATGTGCACTTTACAAGACTTCAGGTTTTGTCTTCAATGTCTATGCAGCATGAGTGAAGATTTTAATATATTCTTTAAAAAAAGCCACGGTGACCATATCTTGCACCCCTTTACCCCTGGAAGGGTCCCCGGTGGGGCGGCGCAGGACACATGACCTCGGTTACACCCTGAACAAGAAGCCAGTTCATCACAGAGCAGATGCATGGACACACAATGGCCAACACAATGGGAAACTTGGATGCCATAGGGGGAGAGCATGCAAACTCCACGCACATAGTGTAGGGGTGGAATTCAAACCCCCAGCACTGGGACTGTGAGGTAGCACTGTAGCACTGAACCAATGTGCTACTAGACTTAGACTTTGACTTCGACTTTACCATTGTGTTGAAAATATAAGGTTCCTAAGTAAAGATATGGGTCACCAAGAAACTCAAAGAGCTTTCACTCATAGAAAGGTGACGTCTACATAATGATCTGTTGCTCTTGGTAGTGAAAAGTTCATGTTTCTCCTAAAGAATTTTGCTTCTTGAAAGTATTTCTTTTACATCTCTTATATATAAGCAATACAAACAAGTTAATAATCAGTCTTGTATCATTTATTGGCAATTTCTTCAACTTTTCTAACTGCTCCGCCCTCTCTAGATTTTCGCACAACCCTTCAACTAGGTTAATGTATGAATCACTTTGCAAGCACAACACTCTTCTCCAGCTAGTCCTTGGTGTACTGTACTTCCCTGGATGCTGCAGAAACCATTTTCAGTGCAACTTTAACTAAGTTATGAAAGCGATACACCCTCTGAGGTAGGAGCAGTCAATAAGCCGTTTTCTTCCTTTCTGCATTATCTATCATACGGTAGAGTCGCACACCACAAACATTTTACCATAGTTTTAAAATTTTCGATGTGCCAATCAATACTCTGCTTAAGGTGATCAGATTTTGTGTCACACCTATCATACCTATATGGGCAAGGTCAAAATAGTTGTTTTACACAGGAGCAAATGTATGGTTTTTCAGGAATTATATCAGGAGAGCAGAAGAAAAAAGACTAAATACACATGCTTAGACCATAATCTTACGTTTAAGTGCATTAGAAAAATACAGACAATTATGAAGGGAAAAAAAAAGCCCCAAGATTTACCAGGTACTTTAAATCACAGATGAACCGTAGCATGTGTGGAGACTCTGACAGAGGCTTCTTGTGTATCCACTTCAGACTGCAGTCATGTATATCAGGAGGACGTGCTCCTCAGACCAGCTTGCACAAGCATCTCCAGTGACGCCAATGAACTTCTAACCTCTCAAAACATTCCTACTAGGCAAAATGCAAAGCATAACAGAAGAGAGCAATTTAAAACGTTCAGATTTGTATATTCATGCTTGTAATATTGTACAGTAGTTATTCATATTACTGTACGAGCCACAGTTCAATACGCTTTTTCTTGTGTTGGTTATTGATACTTACAATATAAATTTGCTTATTGGAAGCACTCTGCTTGATTTATGAACAATTAGCATGGTTGAATTTTAATGTAATTAGGAATTATGAGAGTTTACCTCAGTTACATTGCTTATTTAGATGTTATTGTCTGGAGAGTTAATAGAAGATTGTAATTATTAAGATTAATCAACAATAGAAAAGCCACCTGTTAAATCCATCTCTCCATCCATCCATCCGTCCACCAATCTTCCTAATGCTTTTTCTGGTCAGAGACTGGGTGGCCTGGAACCAATTCCAGGCAGCACTGGGTACGACACTGGGTACAGCCTGGATGAGATGCCAGTCCCAGCTGAAGCTTGAACCTGTAACAATGTTGTAGCTACTCAGAATCATACAGCCATACGAAGTAACCAAACTTATCTTAAGCTGAATAAACAAGCAATTTCAGGGCTCTTCTAATTAAATGTTGCCCAGCTTCATCTCTTAACCTGGAGCTTCAGGGTTCGAGAAAGAGGCCTCTTTATGGGGGTGTGTGGTTTAGCAGGTTAGGACGCTGTGCTTGTCAGTAGAAGGTCGCTGGCTCGCATTTGATGATCGACATAGAGATTCCACCGTTGGGCCCTTGAGCAAGACCCTCAATTGCTCCAGAGGCCACCTGACCCTGCCTCAAAAAAAAAAAACGTATGTCACTTTGGACAAAAGTGTCTGCTCAGTTAATAAAATGTGATGTTGTGCAATGAACTTAAGTCATCCTTTAATTTAAATTGCAATTTAAATGAGTTTGCACAAAAACATAAGAACCATGAGGAGTTGTATACCTCTGCTGTGAAAGAACGCGAGTAAAAATATCATGAATGCTGGGGCATCACGGTGCTAAGAGGCAGTGAAAGAAAACCCAGGGACCATTTAAAATAAGGGTTTAAGTGCACTCTATCAAAGGCGCAGGGGCACGGAGGGCAGATCTGTTAGCATCTCTAAGAGAAAATCTCTCCAGTGAGCAGGGTTACTGCAGCAGAAGCGCATCAGCATTGTGGGCAAATTCATCTAATGGTGAGAAATCCCGTGTGATGCTTTTACATCTGGTACAGCAGATTTATGATGATGACTCTGAAGCGGAGAATTCTTCTCTTGAGTGAGAAGTGGTTTTCTAAATATTTATATAAATGTGGGCTGTTCATCTTGTTTCTGTGATTCTATGTTGTATACTGGAAACTAGATCAATTTTTTAAAGTTGTTAGTATTACTCATCTGGTTTGCTGCAGTGATGTTGTACATCATGTAAGAGGATGCAAATACGTCTGCTGAGTTTTTTATATATATATTTTTTTTAGAAAGCAGTTATGTCCAGTTATTTCAGGTTTATTACATCAATCCTGCTATCTTGTGTTCTCCTCACATCTTTACAAATGGATGAAGTGGGAAAAGCCAAGAGTAAGATTCCTCTATCTTTTATAATTCTGTAATTCCTAGTGGACATAAGCTGATACAGTTGTTCATTCATGTGGAAAATAAATTCAATCAAGCATCAAAAATCTCAGTTTATACTATGCAATTATTTGCAATGTAATTTTATACTTTCAGTATATATTTGATGGAAATTATTAGCAGTTACTTGGATTTTTTTGGTTTTTAAAAATAATTTAATGCTGACTATATCAACTGAAGATGACTGGTTGTCTGTGGTTCTGCTATGTACTGTAGGATACAGGGCACAGGATAGAGGGCCAAATTCATTATTGAGAGCCTCCAATATTCTTTTAGAGTTGAGTGTTTATTTTATTGTCAAAATATACAACAAACCATGATACAAAGCCAAATAATATATTCATATGATCATGTGATGGTATGTCTGCTATATTCATCATCTCCAGAAGAAATTAAAAAGAACAAGGACTCTTCATTCCAAGACGGACCCATATCTTCCCCTTACCCTCTGAACAGGTAAAGGGTGGTCAATCGTTTTGTGTTCTTTATTGTTTCATCTGTGATGGGTGTAATTAATATAGTTTGTGTTACTGAATCTGCCTATTCTTAAAGTGACAGAGAAGGATTCCCCCAGTCGTCGTTGCACATGTTTACGCTACTCCGTCAGGCTGGGCCTGAAACCCAAGCCATTTCAAGAGCTGCGGAAGCTCAGGAAATAGTTCTGCATTCAATAAAGGCGAAAGCAGCCAAAAGAGTAAAGAAGGGCCTGAAAACAGGTAAAACCTGATTATAAACCATTCATAATTCCTTTAGAAGGAAAGTCTTATTGTAAAGTGGTACTATTCATAGCACCAATGTTTCAATGCAATGCAATCAAAGTCAACAATCAATAATTAGTTATGCATTTCTAAGTACACTTTGATGGAACAGCATAAGTTCAATATAATGTATAAAATGTAAATATGGGAAATGTATCCATCCATCCATCCATCCATCCAAAGCTTATCCAGTACAAGATCCTAAAGGGAACCTATTCCAGGCAGCACAGGGCACCAAGCAGGGATACACTCTGGATGGAATGCCAGTCTCTCGCAGGGCACAGACACACATTTACATACCTATTAAAAACTCTACTGGGTTAATATATGAATCGCTTTGAATCATTACATTTGGTAACGTACTGTACACAAAGTTGGATATACAGTACTGTGCAAAAGTCTTAGGCAGGCAAAGAAAATGATGTTTAGATTATCCTCGTGTTGGTGTACAGTAAAACTATGATATTATGCCTGTCAAAGTGTGTCAGCTTAGCCACTTCAGAACCTCTGCTAAAATCACCCCAGTATTTGCAGCGACCGTCCAGTGCAGCCATGTATGTTTTGACTTGGCCACTAGCTCACCTCATACAGCTAGTCAATCTCTCACTGACTTTTTAAACCAATTTATTTAATTATTTTATTGAGCTGTTGGTGAAATTTAACTAAATCATGGAACGGCTGAGGTACTCCTGAGGAGAGGTTTGGGAACTGAAGCGGTGTTCATCTAGCCATCCAACTAGCTATCAGTAACTTTTTAGAAAACAGAAGAAATCCTTAATTTGCACATGTTCTAATGTTAAATTGTGTTTTTTGTTCTAAGCCAAAGTACACTTGCAACCCAGATAAACAGCTTTAAACATTTCTTTGGACTGCCTAAGACTTTTGCACAGTACTGTATTTTTGGGGAGACCGCTGTGGACCATACAGTACATATATGACTTTTATCGTTAAGTGAATGTTGACAGCTTATAATTCTTGACAGTTTATTAGGTCTAAGGAAAAGAAAAAGGTCTCGATCCCTGCAATATTTCAGATAACATTAAGCTTCTTGCTATCCCTAAGCTAATTGAAATTTCACAGAAAGGGCAGGATGTATAAAACGTTAACATTGTGGTCGGTTTGTTATGCTTGATGCTGTAGAAAGATATTAGTTTGAAAGATGACTTTTGTGGCTGCAGTGATATACTATCTATCTATTTCCAGTTCATTTAGCTAAACTTAGAAATCAACTAAATACATACTCAGGGCATACTGTAGGGTAAGGGGTACAGTTAACCAAAGATTACAAACAAATTCAACATCCATCCATCCATCCATCCATCCACTGTAACCACTTGTCCTATGCAGGGTTCTGAGGTTCTTGAACCCATTCTAGAGGCTATGGGCACAAGGCAGGGAACAATCCAGGATGGGGGACCAACCCATATTCAATGTAGAACTAAAGCAATTATAAAATTAACATTACTTTTAAATACAGTTTTATGTACTTACCCTCACAAAGAGGGATTTGGGAGTTTAACAGATGGTTAGATTGAGTAAAATGATATGATCTGTAATTACATGCAATGAGATGCCCTCAAGTTTTAAATATATGCCGCTGCTAGCTTTATTTATGGGATTTTTTAGCACTTTTTTGGTTGCTTATAGGAATGTACATGCAGGGCAGCCAGCTCTGTTCAGGGACAGAAAATCAAAAAATTATGCATTATTCCCTCAGTCTATTCCAGCTTGCGGCACAGCTACAACCTGAGCTGTAACTTTATTTTGCGTTTACTTGCCCTTTAGTCTCTCAGCAAGCTGTGCTTGTTTCAGCTTCAGTACAAGATCAATATTAACACAAGATAAAATCAGATAAATGAGATGAGCCCACTGGGATAGTCAAGCTGTAGCTGTATGGAAGATCATGTGTGCCGAGCAGCTAAAAGTGATTTCTTAGACTTGTCATTTAGCAATAATAAGCAATGGAGAGAAACCGAAGTGTAATACAACCTCGACCCGCGACTGCGAACAGTACAGATGGTTACAGAAAATGAATGGATAGATGTTGATGCTGCTTGAGGATTCTTCGTTATCATAAAAGATGATTAAAAGCAAAGTGACCTGAACCCTGACTTTCTTCTGGAGAATGGTTGAATTACATGTTTCATAAGAAGCAAAGTGCTCCTCCGCCATCGATGCTGAGGATGACGCTTCGTGGGTGGGTTTGAGGTGGCATGAGGGCTCGGGGGGGCAGCCCTGTTGCTTGGGAATTTGCATATTTACCGTCCTCATATCTTTATTCTCACAGTCCAAAGACAAAGCATTAGGCTAATTGGTGTTTCGAAACTAACTGAAGAGCAGGAGCATTGTTAGGATGTATTTTAGGGGGACTTGCAGGACAGCAGAGGCAGACGACACATCAGGACAACATGCTAAACGATGCAGTCAAACGACACATCAGGACGACATGCCAAACGACGCAGTCAAACGACACATCAGGACGACATGCCAAACGACGCAGTCAAACGACACATCAGGACGACATGCAGTACGACGCAGTCAAACGACACATCAGGACGACATGCAGTACGACGCAGTCACACGACAATGACGATGACACATTATGTCACGTGTCGCCCTCTATATATCTGTTGATACAACTTTTTAAACAAAGCGGGAAATTTATGATGCTTTACAATGTGATAATGTGAAAAAGAAAACTATTTTTTTAAGTAGCCAATGCAGTAACATAATACTGAACACATGTGGCAAAACAGACCAATAGTAGGAGCTTCTCCCATTACCTCAGGTAGTCTAAAACTATTTGAAATATAACCCAAATTTTACCGAAATAATCCAAGAGTGAATTTCCCGAAGTCTTAATGCTACGTTGTTCGTAAGTTCTATCTTTTAACATAGAAACAAACAAAAAAAAAAACATACGTTTTATATTAATATTTATCTAAATTAACCCACTGCAAAACATGTCTACTATGTTTAGCTTGCATTTATTCAGGGGCTGAGTCACTTTAGTTTTCAAATCCTAGAATTGCCCCTGATATAGAGTATGACTGTAGAGTGTGATTTCCTGCCCTGTGATGGACTGGTATTCTGTGCAAGGTGTAGCACAGCCTTGTGACCTGTGCGGCCTGGAAAAGGCTGTAGGACACCTGGGACCCTTACTGGGCTAAGCAGTTAGTAAGACGGCTAATAAGCCAAGTTCTGGGGGGAAAAAGATTATGTGTCTTTGAAAAGAAGTGCAATATTTTAGGATACTTACAAAGCTGAATTTCATGATTTTACTAAAAAGGTTTTTTTTAAATGTATTTTTTACCTAAATTACTGTTTCAAGATGGTCCTACTTTAGAGGAAATTGAGGCTATTGCCAACCTCTCTGGCTGTCCTCCTCCAACAAAGTCAAATATTTGCCCCAACGGCTGTCTGTCTGAAAAGTACCGGACGATTTCTGGAATCTGCAATAACAGGTAGGAAGGTAATTTATGTTTTTTTGGAAAAATAAGGAAAAAATAATTTGAATGGAAAGCTGTAAAGAGTGAAGTCTATGGTGACACTTTACTTGAGGGGCCATAAATAATTTAGCATTATTCCCTTATGTATTAACCACAAACTAAGTCTTAGTTACATATTGCCCTCGTGTTTGTTCATCATTAATGAATAGTGATACATGTCTTCTCAAGTAGACTATTTGTTGCTATATCTGTTAATTCTGTAACTACTGAAGGAACAAGTAATGAATGACACAAGAGAAATAATGATCTTATATTTGCTAATAATGCTTTAGTGTTCCTCATGGAAATCCTCACTTTGCCTATGCCATGACACACAGACATATGTAGGTGAGAGCAAGCTTGGCAGTGAAGGACAGGCACCTGCAGCAGTGCCCATGGAGCTGGGGGTTAGGGGCCCTGCTCAAGGGCCCACAGACATGACCCACAGAGATTTAACACACTGAGCCACAAGCTGAGCCGCATCTTTAATGAATCATGACACATCTTTTATCTGAAAAAGCTACTATATTTGTTCATGATTTGTACTTGAGTAATAACTGAATTACTACTACTACTAAGTATTTGTACCCACTCAAGTAAAGTACGTAATGCTTTACTTGTGCATTAATTAACCATTAGCGAGTTGTTAGTTCATAATTAATAAATTATGATGTTAATGTATTCCATGCAGGAACTATCAGTTAATTACTAATCAGTTACTGATTAGTTGATTGTTAACTAATATAGTTTCTGAATGGAATACATGAATTGTCATGATTGGTCAATGATGAACAAGCATTTGATCAGAACATAACTAACACTTAGTTACTGGTTAATTAATGCATTAAGTGAGGGTGTAGTACTACATTACTTGGGTCCAACAAGTAAAATGTGACCATAAAATGCTACCAAGTCTATTTTATATAAGCCAGTGGGTGTGCTTTTGTGCCTATGGGTTTGCAGGCATTTAACTGTTCAAATGACCAAGCTATGTATTAAATTCTGGTACATAATGAGGCAGAGAACTTAGAGCCAGCTGAGTAGCTGTCTATGATTTGCTTTGGACACCGTTCACTGCTAAGGAAGTCCTTTCCTTCAGGGGGTGATACCTTTACAATCAGCACAGTTGTAAGAATCATTTCATGGGTCTTTGAAAATCCCAGAGCTGCTGTGTCTTTAGCTGACTCTGTCTGTGGAAGATTAGAGAGTCACGTGACACTAACTGTGGTACCAAGGTGTTGGTTTAGCTCATCTATAATGTATATGTTGCGCTGCATATGTTCTGCATAATGGAGGTCAGATATAGGATACTCAATTGCACATTCTGGTTTATATGCACACCGTCACTATTTGTACTCCTCCTGTTTTCCACAACTTTGTCACCAAAGACATACAGAATGAGGTGGCAGAGGTGGAAAGGTGGAAAAGCCTTTGATCAGGTGGTAAATCTACATCTGTCATATGATCACTAATGCTTTCACAGTAATGAGAACACAACATCTCTTCTCTTTTACTGGACCAATCATCATTATGTAGGGAATGCTCTCACTTTTTTTTAATAATATTCAGCTTTTATATTTAATTCAAGAGCATCTATTTATGTGTAGGAAGATAGGATTCATTCGTAGTGTTTTGATGTTTGGACCATTATACGCACATAATGGCCGTATAATAAACATTCCAATGCATTTGATGGTAATGTTGTAATATTTGTAAAGCTCTGTAATTCATGAGCATCCAAAATTCTTCTTCTTTTCAGACTTAGTCCATTATGGGGAGCAGCCAATACTGCACTGACACGGTGGCTCCCAGCAGAGTATGAGGATGAAGAGGGTCAACCCAAGGGCTGGAACCCGGAGCACTTACAAAATGGCTTTCGGTTACCTCTCGTGAGTGATATGGTGCACTGGTAGATAAGTAAATAAAGGAATAAGCATACTAGTAACTTTTAAAAATACATTGTTTACATCACAACAATGCATTTACATATGCACATCTAATTTAGCTACAGTGTTGAGAACTGAAAAACCAAAATGTTCATGAAAATGTAATGTTGTAATTAGAAAACTACAGTATATTACAAAGCAAAAAAATCTTTCAGGAAAATCTTTATATTTAAATGTATATATATATATATATATATATTAATAATTAAAATATGCTTCTCTGATTACAAAAGGAAAACATTAAAATAATAATTGGAAGATGATATATCATTGTTTATTTTCTGGTTCTGGGTTCTGACAGCTGAATGTATGAATATGTAAACAGGTGCGGGAAGTCAGCAACAAAATTATGCAGAGATCAAGCAAGCGTGTCTCGGAGGATGATGCATATTCCCAGATGCTGGTGGACTGGGGCCAGTACATCGACCATGACATTTCATTCACTCCACAGTGTATAGTCAAGGCTGCTTCTTTTGGAGGACTGGACTGTCTAGAAACCTGTGAAAACATTAATCCCTGCTTCCCGATTAAGGTATCTGCACATATGCAAATGGTAGAAACGTCATATTAATTCGCAATTTTTAGTTTTAGGAAATTAACAGATGTACCCATTGCGAGTTAGCTGGTGACACAGATCCCCAGCATTTTCTATATTCAGGGGGATGCAATAGAGGTTTACATCGGTCTGGGGGGAACTATGTTCTTCTGTTTTCCGCACTGTACAGTCTTTTATATATACTTTTAATCCATGCCAGTGTTTAATTTTGCTTTTATTAAATTTTAAAAGCAATATCATGAATGGAAATGAACAATCATATGAGCCATCATGAAAAATAGTGAGTGATTCGGGAAATAAATAAATTAATAAGCAAAAAGGGTGGCATAGTAGGTCAGTGTGTTGCGTTGTTGATTACGGCTGTTCCTGGCCGTTTGAGTGATTTGCATGCCATCCCTGTGTTACGTAGCTTCCTCAGGCTACCCTGGTTTCTTCCTCCGGTCTAAACATTGCAGCTAGGTGAACTGGTGACTAAAAACTGCCAATAATGTGTGGATGCACTGGGATCCCAGCCTGCACATCCGTTTGTCTTGTGCCCTGCTTGGGATGGACTCCAGGCCCTGACTGAAAGAGCTGGATGGATAAATCTTTTGAGAGAATTATAATGTTGCATCAAGTATACTGTAATATGTTGCCTGTTTCCTTCAAGCTTACGTGACTCATTCACGCTAATCATTACAATGAGTGATTGTTGCCATTGTAATTTCCAATAGAAATGCGATAATACCATACAATGGCTGACGTCATGGGAGTGGCAATGGCCCAGTGTTATGTTGCGTTCTGATACTGGAGAAGGCACTTACAAAGGTTACTTATTTTGACATCTCAGCATCTATCACTTTATTATATTTAGAGTTGGTATATTATTAATATAACAAAAGCATAATAATTCCCATTCAAATCACAAGACTCCATTGTCCTTGTCGAAGTTCTGCACCTGTTTTTCTTCCATGGCTGGTCAGGTGGCCGTCAAAAAGGTGTCAAACAGTATAATAGATGTATTATTTAGGCTAGAAAAAAATGGCAGCTTTGGCAACTTAAAACTGTTTTCTGAAAACCATCCTATATTTTGAGGTTACATGTTAGATGGGGGAAAATAACTTTCTGCCTCGAATGCTGGACTGGATTTCCCATTCATTCAATCACGCAGGATGAGCCATTTGAAAAAAATATATTGTCAGAATTCATTGTAAACTGTTTTAAATATCTCCCGGCTGTCAAGGACATATACACTTTGATTTAAATATGCAGGGATAATTATCAGATTTTCTATATTTTCAAAATTTCTTCTTGCTTGGACCCAGACAGTCTTCATTGTTGGCTGGGAATAAGCAGATCTGAGAATTATTCTGCATTATTAGCAGCTTTCTGATTCCATGGGTTTCGTTTGTGCTTTATGACAGAACCAAATTGGACTTCACTTGCAGATCAATCCATCTTCCATCCACTTATACAGGACAGGGTCGGGGGCTGGGGGGAGGCGGTTGGAGCCAATCCCAGTCCGCACTGGGTACAAGGCAGACTCTTCACAAAATTCCATTCACCATTACAAGGCACTTGCATGTAAACCCTATGGGCAATTCTGAGGCGACAATTTACACATTTCGACTATAAAGGAAACCCAGAGTAGCCAGAAGAAATTCATGGCAAGAACAATCTCTACAGCAGGGTTCCCCCAATTCCAGTCCTGCTGGGCCAATCCACAACACAGTTTGGAGATCGCCCTACTCTACACACCTTATTTAGCTCACCAGTTAATTCCTAGGTTTAGTAGTTGTGTTTTAGAAGGGAAATCAGCAAACTATGTTGTGGACTGGCCCTCCAGGACTGGAATTGGGGAACCCTGCTGGGACTGGATTCAAAGCCACAGTCATGCAGATGCGAGACAACAGGACGACTCACTGAGCCACCCTGGCCCACAGTAAATGCTTTTACCGTGTTTCCAAGAACGGTGACTGTAAAAAACACTCCCATCTCTGTTACATATAAACTTAAATACATTTAATTATGCACATATGCGAAGTGCATGGCTGTCGATTTCATTCCATTTTTATACCATAAAAATTCCATATTCTCATATTGTTTGGCGCATAAAAAAAAAAATCTAAAACATACAAATGAGATTGAGAGACAATCATAACCTAGAATTTGAAGTAGGGATGAAGGGATTTCTTCACTGTTTTCCTGTCATCGCAGATTCCCCCGAATGACAAACTGTCTGGGAAAAGAAGCTGTCTGCCGTTCTTCCGCTCTTCTCCTGCCTGTATTACTCTGCACACGGATGGTAAAGACCCCCCAGTGAGGCCACAGCGGCAGCAGATGAACGCCATCACATCCTTCCTGGACGCTTCCACAGTCTACGGCCACACGCCGGCCCTGGAAGGCCTGCTCCGTAACCTGTCCAGTCCGGAGGGCCTGCTCGCTGTCAACACCCGTATCTCCGATGGGGGCTTCCCATACTTACCCTTTGTCCCCAACACCCCCTCGGGATGCCTCCAGGATCCGGGCGACCTGTGGGGCGAGAGGGTGGAGTGCTTTTTGGCAGGAGACAGCAGAGTCAGCGAGATCCTGCCGCTGTCTGCCTTGCACACACTGTGGCTGAGGGAGCACAATCGTATCGCCGCCGGCCTGAAAGAGCTCAACGGTCACTGGGGCCACGAGCAAATCTACCAAGAAGCCCGGAAAATTGTCGGCGCTTTACATCAGGCAAGTCGACATCATAAATATACATGACAACCGCCGAAGCGACGTTACACAGGTACTGATGCCCTCCCCGCATAAAAATGAACCTGTGCCTTTAACGGCACAAGAGGTAAAAAAAATCCAAGTAAGTCTCAAGGAACACTTTAATATTTCAAGGTGGAGAATCGAGTTATTCCATTGTAAAGTTGATGAACCAATATAAAATTAATTAGCTATTATTATTTTAGCTAACAAATATTAGCTATTGTCGTTTTATATAATATCCTCCTTAAAAATGTTGATAGTTTTCAATATAGTTTAAGGATGGTTCATTTATTCAGCAACACTTTACTTGAAGGGCCACAAATACTTAGTAATAACTCAGTTACTACTGAAGTACAAATCATGAGCAAATATAGTCACGAGATAAAAGTTGCATCATGATTCATTAATGAAGAACAAACAAGAGATTAGTGTGTAACGTGTTATTCATTACTTGCTCCTTCAGTAGTTCACAGATAGTTCAGGTTTACAGAATTAAATGATATAGTAACAAATATAGTAACGAGATAAAAGATACATCACTATTCATTAATGATGAATTACCATGAGATCAGTACGTAACACAGACTTCGTTTGTGGTTAATTAATACATATGGAAGAGAATATATTATTTGTGCCCCGTCAAGTAAAGTTTTATCATTTACAGTACCTCAAAAGCTTATATAACTTGCTCCAGTTTATCCTGACTGGGATATGTAGCCACCAGTATAGATAAGCTGCACAATGGCTGTAATCAGTACTGGGCAACCCATTAGGAGGTAGAGGCGGCCGCCTCAGATGCGACCTGCTGTGAAACCAGCAAGTCAATTTCATTTTGTCTTAGATGGTCTGTGGCACTCCACAAACTCCTCGTACCCCTATAAGCACTTGCGCCCTCTGTGGGGTGAGCAGAAAATTGCTATGCAGTGTTGGGGTTTAGGTTAGAACCTGAAGCCTGCCTTACCGCATGAGCTTTGGCACTGACTCTGAGCTATTAGTTAAGTTCTCCCCAAACGAGCTTGATGGGCCGAATGGCTTCCTCTCTTTTGTAAATTTCTTATGTTCTTATGTTCTTATGACTGTAATGTTAGTGTCCGTGGCAGGGGCAACCACCAAAACTACCTTCAATAGCACGAGAGTTAAGATATTATAGTTATATATAAATAAATCTATTTCTTTTGAAATAGTTAGTTGAAGAGAACGACCTGTACTAGATATGTTCCCTTATAAATTCGTAAATCTCTGCACGGGAAGACGATGGTGTATGAATAAAAAATACATGAAAGCAAATTTTTTTAAAAAGGAGAAAATAACTGAACACCAGTTAATATCAGGGTAACATGTAGGATCGAGAAGAGAGACAGAAAGAGAAAAAGCTTCATTTGCTTGAGCAAATAAGGAACCGGCAGTATAATTCTATAAAGATGTAAAGATGCAGTATAAAGATCTGTATAATTATAACCTTTATCTGAGACCTTGAGATCATAATTATAAAGTTATTTTGGGTCTACAGATATTGTTTTTTTTTTGTGTACCATTTATAACTGAATTCTGAAGATTTCTATCCATTAGAAGAATCCAGTACCAGAATTTATGCAATTAATGCAGTTGTTGTCAAAGTGGAGCTCTGTGTTTTCCCAAAAGAGAAAAAATAAATGAACATAATCCAGTGAAAGGTTTTTGTTACTCCTATGAAAAGTGCTTGTATTCCATCTTAGCGGCTAGAGCTCACACATTGTACCAATTGTAACCATTAAAGATGAGTAGAGAGTCGGTTTACGTAATTACATAATTCTATCAGAGATGAGACGACTGCACTTATGACTTTAGTTCAGTCTTCCATGCCCTTTTTCTTTAATCCTTCATGAAGTGAATATTTTAACGATGTTTTGTACATCTTACTTCAAAGATCTCTCTTATTCCGGCGTGTGTTATCAGGCATATGAAATTTGTTTGTAAATGTGTTCATTGGTTGGAAGATGATTTATTACAGTTTTATTTGTGAAAAAAGGTAGTAGCTAGACTAGGGATGTATTCCATCCACTCATCCATACATACATCATATATACTACTTATTTAGTACATCAGTACAGTGACCATGGAGCTCAAAACGCACTCGGCCTGAGGCAGAGAAAGCTGTGGTACTGTTATATAAAGCACTGTTATATAAATAATATGCCACAATTTGGGTTATTTACTGCATACTGTTTGACCATTCCTCTGACAACTGTACTTATCCTCGGCGATTAATGCATTAATTAATTCATCAGCTACTGTCACCAGTGCATAACAAAATGCATAATAAAAATAGCGTCGGCAAATTTCAAAGTTTATTAGTTTCATTTTCTGTTTCTCTTAAGGTCATAACTTTCAGGGATTATGCCCCAAAGATTCTTGGAAGAGAGGCTTTTGAGAAATACGTCGGGGTTTACGGAGGATACAACCGGTCCATCAACCCCACGGTATCCAACGTATTTGCCACAGCTGCCTTTCGCTTTGGCCATGCCACCATCCCAGCCATGGTGCTGCGGCTCAATGAGAGCTTTCAGAAACACCAGCTCTACTCCCCTGTGCGTCTACATGAGACTTTCTTCAGTCCATGGAGACTTGTTAAAGAAGGTATTTATCTTTAGCTTTGTCGGGTTCTAGTCTATGATCAACTTTATGCCTTTTCAGGTCTTGTAAGGAGATGCCGCGGTGCCAAATTAATGTCAATGTAAAAACTGGATTTCACTACAATGCAGCTTACTTGTCCTGCTTGCTAGGCGGACTGGATCCCATTCTTAGAGGACTGCTGGGAAGGCCAGCAATAGCAGTGACAACAGACCACTTGATGACAGAGGAGCTGACAGAGAGGCTAATAGTTCTCTCAAGCCCTGGAGATCTGGACCTCACAGCCCTTAATTTGCAACGTGGTCGCGACCACGGGCTCCCTGGTCAGTTAAAGAACAAGGATGAAGCCCTAATTTTAATCCCGCCACCCAACAAACAAACATAACCAGGGGTTTAGTGGAAGAATCAAGTGTATACAATTAAATATAAAGTATGAAATGAGTTAAATGCACCTCAATGTCACCCCTGACAATGTACTAAGTTTACTACTGCACTTCTAGTACTGAAGTTCTATTTGGGTCAAATGAATATGAGTTGCATTTATTTATTTTGTTAATTTAATTTATATACCCCCAGGTACCTAATTTGTATCCTTAGGATACAATAATGTAGTCCACCTCAATAACATTAAGATTTCTTTAATTTGTCATTGATATATCATTAAATGCAATCTAATTTTATTAAAAATAAGTAGGCTACTGCTAATTGTATTCAGTTGATATGAGCACGGCATGTTTGGCATCCATAAGCACACTGGCATGATTTTTCAGGCTACAGTAAATGGAGGGAATTCTGTGGATATGAAAGTATACAGACACAAGCTGAACTCAGCACAGTTATAAGTGACGCCAGTTTGGTTCAGAAGATAATGGAGTTGTACAAACATCCCAGCAACATCGACGTGTGGCTGGCCGGACTGGCAGAGGATCTCTTGCCTGGTGCCAGGACAGGGCCTCTCTTTGCATGCTTAATTGGGAAGCAGCTGAAAATGCTTCGAGAAGGTGACAGGTCAGCCTGCCTGACGACCTTGAACATACACTTTGAATGTTGTCTCTGATCTTCAGAGTTTTGTTGAACGAGTTCTGCTCTATTGAGGATAAACTTATTGTAAATGCACCCAGATAAAATAAATATTCTGAAGAAACTTAATAAAGGAGGACAAAAATTTATGTTTAGCCTTGTGGCATCAAATAGTGTGAAAACAGAATTATATTAATAATAACACAGACTGTTATAATATAGCCCGTTCATCATAAACAAGCATCTGAGAAAATCATATTCAATGAATTTTTGATTTTTAGTGCAATATCTAAAAATATGGAATAATATCAATACACTTTAAAAACTACACATCTACTGTTAACCAAATACAAATCTTATAATGACTACAGGTAATCACTTATTTGAAAGCTAGGTTTCAGTAATAACATGATTAGAATTACTGTATTTTTCCATGTTTTTTACAGGTTCTGGTGGGAGAATGAGGGCATATTTACAGATGCTCAGAGGGCAGAAATCCAAGGGCATTCTCTTTCTCGGGTAATTTGTGACAACAGTGGACTGAACGAAGTCCCCGCTGATCCCTTTAGATTGAGACAATACCCAAAAGACTTTCAGTTCTGTAAGAACTTACCCACCATGAATCTGAAGGCTTGGCAAGAAGATCTCAGCAAAGGTTAGATAAACATCAGCTATACTGTCTATCTACCCACGGGCATATTGCTATGGTGATGATATTTTTCTTCTCTTGATTTAAATGATTACAGATTATGCGGAACAAGTACCACAAATATTGGTTGATTTGCACTGGATATGGCATTAAAGGCTATAGTAATTAGTAAATGTTTATGTGTGAGTTGGAAATGTTGCCATTTCTTTTTTGAAATTACAGAGCTGATGCCCTGTGGTTCTCCTGCTGAGCTAGAAAATGGGGATTTTGTGTTTTGTTCCATATCTGGCAAATTGGTGGCTGTTTACTCCTGTCGCCATGGGTATAGCCTGGAAGGCCAGGAGGAAATTCTCTGCACGGAAAGTGGCTGGAGCAGCCAACCTCCCATCTGCAAAGGTAAGTGACTCTCGACTGGGTTCAGCCGTTACAGCTTCCCTTCTCACTGCCGTGCTTCAGAAGATAGTGACACTCCTCTGGCCTTAAGGACCCATAAAAATGCATTACAGTAATTGAATATCTTCTCAAGAAATATCTGAGCTGATTGAAATAAGATGAGGAATCGTTCTTCAGTGTCTAAAGAGGGGCTGTGGAAAAGCCTTATAATATTCACCAATTCGTCTTTCAACCACTGATACTGGTCTGGGTCACCTGGGACCTATTTCAGCCAGTATATGGCACTAGGCTAAGGGACACTCTAGATGGCATGTCAGTCTGTCACAGGAAACATACACTCATACTCGACAGGCGATTTACAGATGCCGGCTAGCCGAACTGCATATCCTTGGACTCTAGGAGGAACTCCTGTGCAAGAGCATGCAAGCTCCACACACACAGCAAAGGTGGGATTCGAACCCCCAAACCTGAAGCTGTGAAGCAACCCTGCTTCCCATTGCAGCACCATCCTTATACTGCTGTATTGTATGACACCATATTTCTGCCCTTTGGGAGCATTGTGTGAATCAGCAGGTTAGGATGCTGTGTCTGTGATTGAAAGGTCACCGGTTAAAATCCAAGGGTCAGCAGTGTGATGTCACCATTGGGCCCTTGAGCAAGACCCTTAACCCCAATTGCTCCAGGGACTGTCTGACCCTGCTATGTATGTCACTTTAGATAAAACAGTCTCATAACTAAAATGCAAATGTCTTCATTTTATTATCCTCAAAGCTATTCCAGACAACAAACCTCATCCTCTAATTTTGTGAATGAGCAATTACATATTACTTACATATTACTTTTTGTGTTTGTACTGTACAGGTACCTATCTATATTTTTCATACAGTAAATGGCATGGGTTTATGGAGACTGACACATGATTGTCCATAGGCAGCCCTAAGGTATTGACCAGAGTTTTTAGGACTATCACCCGTCAAGTATGATACATCAGAACTGGTGTATCTGCCTGGAGGCAGCTACATGCAGGGGCATTCAGTGCCGAAGCAGTGTTAACGCAGTTTAGACACTGGTGGAGACAGGCCCAGTGTAAATCACTGATAATGAAAAACACTCAGGTGCATTTTAACGACATTCACGTATTCACGACCAAACTGACAATAAAAAAAATTTGTCTTATATAGATATTAAGTTTTATACTACAGATGCTTTTTACAGAAGCAAATTGTTACATTACAATAAAAGACCAGTTTATCATTATAAACAGAAAAATTCTTGATATAATGAGATCCTTTTCATTTTTTAATGTGAAAGCATGATGTTAAAATGTGAAGATTATCTTGGTTCTCATTATAATGAGATACATATTACTATTCCTGGTCTTACTGTCTGGTGTTAGCAACAATATGCTGCCTTACCTTTTAACCTTTTTTTACTTTAGACTCAAAGTATAATATAACATTGCCATTGCCGTAGTGAAAAACAATATTTCACTTGTATATTTTATTAATATTAACCTAATATTATTCAATACTACTATATTAATATTTATAATACTGCTTTAGAAATATTCCCATATATTGGCTTTTTTATTATATTAATTTAGTTGAATTTATTCCATTGTTATGGGTTCCTGAATGAAGGGATGTCTGTGGGACAGCAGTAAACTAGCTAAAAAGTCAAGCAGGACCAGGATGCCAGTTGTGTTTCCTGTGCAGTGTGCTGCTTCACAAAGGGAACACGCTACGGGAACAGGGGTGCACCCTGTAGTGCTGTTCCAGAGTCAGCACATTGTTTTATTTACAGAACTAATGCTGTGCACTACATTAGAGCCTGAAAAGAGATACACATGGGGAAAAAAAAATCATGATTGTAATTTGCTCCATTTGCTACTGAAACCGGATGCATTTGGCAGTTCATTCAAAGAAAAGCATAACCTGAGCTAGGAACCATGTTACTATGTCCCTCACAATTTGATGGAATGGGGAAAATCACCCATTACTGATCAGATGGAGAGGGGAGCCTTGATATTAAACGATTCAGACAAACAGGCTACTCTGCAGCTGCCGGTCACACAGAAACAAAGGGGATGATTACAGATGTAAAATGACAAGCATGACATCAAACTCAGTGTAGATTTTGGTCTGGGTGTCTATTTGTCTGCAGCTAATTGGTATTTCAGATTTGAATTACTCCTGAAGGTTCGTGATACTTACAGTGATTGCCAAGCATTAAATTGTCTTTTAATTTGTAAGGAATATACCGGGTGGTGAAATTTTACTCATACAGTATGAACTAAATAGCAAACTATATAGTGTATACTATTTTGTGGTCTGTCACTGGGACAGAGTTGAAGAATACACAACTGAATTAACAAGTTATATTGGCCCAAACTGCCTGTATCACCCAGTCTTCAGCTTGTCAGTCCCTTCCCCTTTGACAGACAAGCTTCCGAGTAGACAGTCCTGTTAGGTACAGGCAGTATATGAGGTGGCTAAGATGGACTCAAGTGCTAAGTTGTAACTGGTATGTAAGTAGGAATAAACCAGCAACTAGAGAGCAAACCAAACAAGTCCAAGTCACACAAGCAAACACAATCAGACAGCCATTCATTGAAATGAATCCGAGTGAAACAGAGAGATACAGTTAGCCAGAATAAGAAAAACCCAAGACTGCACAAGGTACGTCAGAGGAAGTTTAACCCTCAATGGTTCCTTGGGGTGCGTTCTGCACCCCATGCCCATTTCTATGGAAACTACCATGTTGTTATTAAAATTACAGCAGTTATCCTCTAGGACATTGTAAGTGCACCAGTTTTACATACGGTCATGCAGAAAATGATAGAAAAAGTGTTGACGTCAATTATCGCTGGCATACTTTCTTCGGGGGTGCAAAATGCACCCCAAAAAAAACTTAATTTATGACAGATGTCTGTGGAGATTCTCAGTTATCCAGGTCATGGTTATCCTAAAAAATGGGTTATGCAATAGCAACTGGACTTTGTTTTTCATAGAAGAAGTGTTGCACTCCATCCAGAGTGC